ACACAGGTCATTCCTTCAATGACGCTGACCCACCCACCTACCCACCTACCTACCCACCTCCCTCCCTCCCTCCCTCTTCAACAGTGTACTTTACAAAAGTCGCCGATGGGGCTTGGTAGGAATTTCCCCCTCCCCTTCGTCCTGGGGGGAGGGGAGGTGGGTTTGGCCTAACCTACACTGTTTAATCCATGGCAAATTGGGTAAAGGGGTCCTAAATAGGCTTCACATGTGCAAAGGATATTAGGTACACATCGGTGCACACCACAGGATGGGGAAGATTGTTTCTGATGTGTTCACCCATTTACCTGATGGGTCCTCTTGCATAGTGTCTCGCCCATTGTTTGGCCATTGCTTCATTTGATTACAAACAAAGTGTAAGTTCAAGTTCATGTACAAATTCAAGTTTATGTTCATGCCCTTAAATTTGGTTGGCTGATCACATGGAGATTGATTGGTAACATATAATAAAAGTGTTGTCTTGTGATTTCAGTGGTAGGAGAACAACTGTCCCATTCCTGTCTTCCCCAGTCTGTCCGAGCTTACTACTCACAGTTTTGGTGATCTTCTCCATTAATAACATTTGCTGTTTTCTCCATACTGTGGTGTTGCTTGGCCACACTTGTCCTTGTTTTCAACTGTGAAAAGTTGAAGGCTCTGTGGGGCAGATTCTTGGGTAGCACTGAAAGTACACAGCACCACAGCTCTCCTTATTTTTGTGTATACTTTACTTTTGTGCTGTATTTTGAATGCTACAATGAGGTCATGACTTGTATAAAACTGGAAGAGCAATGGATGAAGAGGACTTGCAAATTTAATTAAGAGCTCTGGATTGTGACTGGGCTACCTACTCCACAGATAGTGATCACTAAGCAGCCCCAACGTGTGTACTGAATTATACAAGACTTCATATTGCTTGGACACTTCAAATCTTTGACCCATTACCCATACAGACATCATTGTGTCCATCCACTAGGGTCGTAAGAATATAACATGAACATTGCTGGATCAGGCCTCAAGATTAATGTTCTTTATCCATTACTCTGGGAAGTTCTCAACAAGGGATAATAAGCACACTCATCCAGGGATGGGTAATGTTTCTGGCCTGTAGAGTGAAGTATATTAGGGCTATGACTTGAATGCACACAACAACAGCAATAACGTTAGTTTATTGATAGGTTAAATGATCTAGTTTTTCCATTCTGAAAATGAGACTTTTAACAACACGATTTTGCACATCAGTAAGTTCTTTGTCTCTAAAAGGCACTACATGCTGTACAGTTCTGATGGCAACATAGAAAAACACAATTCATCATTCCAATAACATCAAGGCTCAAAAATATGCTTTATATCTCTGATATGATCACAGTAAAAAGACAACATTAAAAAGTAAGCTGGAGAGAAAGTGGAAAGCAGGATGGCGAAACTCAGGCATTCAAAAAATTGTTGAAAAAGTGGGAACAAAGATTATTTCAGCCAGAATTGTGAAACTGCAAACTGTTCAGCTCGGTTGCTCTCACAGATGCAAGGACTTTAGCCTTCCCTGTCAAAGAGTGTTGGTGCTTTGTCAAACTGCAAATCCCAGTATTTCATAGTATTGAACTATGCAAATTAAAGTGTGTGTGTGGGGGGGGGGGGAGGGTCAAATTGCATTAATTCCATATTGGTAGATACACCCTTAGGGGCTGCAATGGTGCAGCAGTTTACACTGCTGAGTTGTAGGACTTGCTGACTAGAAGGAAAGTGGTTTGAATCCACAGATGGGGTGAGCTCCCACAGTTCGCCCCATCTTCTGCCAACCTAGCAGTTTGAAAACATGTGAGTAGATCAATAGGTACCACTTCGGCGGAAAGGTTACGGCACTCAGTGCAGTCATGCTGGCCACATGACATTGGAGGTGTCTACGGATAACGCTGGCTGTTTGGCTTAGAAATGGAGATGAGCGCCACCCAGAGTTAGACTTGACTACTAGATTTAATGTCAAGGGGAAACCTTGTTTTCCTGTTTGCTTTCAGTTTGTATTTGCTTGAACCATAACTACTTAGCATACATATTTATTTGTCATAATTATGACTGCAGTCTAGGTAATGAGTATAGTTAATATAAAGCCCTGATCTGGGAATTCTACTTGTAGCAATCACTAACACTAATGGAGAAACTCAAGATAATTAACAGTGGTATGAAGAGCAAAGGAAAATCCCTTATCTATGCAAATCCACACATTAATGTCCTGAATTACTGGCACTTGGATTCCCCACTGAGTAAGGTGTGGAGTGTAGACAGGAAAATGCTTTGGTTTATTCAAAACACCACATTACAGCATAGTACCCGTGTTATAATATCTGCAGGACTGATTTAATCTGCTCACGTCTGATAAAATATATGCTCTAGGACTTTCCTAGATCCTCCAGGTATGTCCTCCTATGTATGTTTCTGCTGGAACGTACCATGGAGTCATCTTTCAGGACCTAGAAAATTCCTAAAGGATATCTTTCTAGGAATTTTCTAGGTCCTTCAGAGGGCTTTTATGATACCTAAAGGCAGAAGTAATACATTTCAATAGGGTTCAGTGTTACCCATTATTTCCTATTTCCATACACAATCTGTATTAGTGGATTTTATCTTGTATTTTAACCGTGTATCCTGTTGTATGTCTTTTAAAAGTGTTTTATCTCTTGTTTTAATGATGTAGTATCCCTTCTTGGTCTATAGGGTATTATTATTATTATTATTATTAGTAGTAGTAGTAGTAGTAGTAGTTCAGGGATGCATCTCCTGATATGGGGATTTTTGTTTTTTGTTTTTGTCATGTCAGAAGTCGCTTCTGGTGTGAGAGAATTGGCCGTCTGCAAAGACGTTGCCCAGGGGACGCCCGGATGATTTTTGATGTTTTTATCATCCTTGTGGGAGGCTTCTATCATGCCCCTGCATGAGGAGCTGGAGCTGATAGAGGGAGCTCATCCGCCTCTCCCCGGATTTGAACCTCGACCTGTCAGTCTTTATTCCTGCCGGCACAGGGGTTTAACCCACTGTGTCACCGGGGCCTCCAACCGATATGGGGATTGAGTGTGTTTAATTTACACACTCAATCCCCAATGTATGTTTTGATTAGTTTATTATATTTTGTTATGGATGTATCTTCATATTTTGGATTTGTTTTTGTGTTTATTTGTTTATTGCTTATTGCGTATTATGGCATGGAATGTCTGCCATTTTTTGCTGGAAATCGCCCAGAGTCCCTTTGGGGAGATAGAATGGGTTATATAATAATAATAATAATAATAATAATAATAATAATAATAATAATAATAATAATGTATAGGAAGGATACAAATGTGTGTGATAGAGCTTTGCTGATTGCCTGCAAGCTACTTTTGCATTCTGAACCCAGTATGCTGCAATTTCCAGTAAGATAAAGGTGAAGGTGGAAAGGACAAAAGAGAGAAATTGAGACACTTTAAATGTGGGGTTGTTGTATCTCTGTGCCTTCAAGTCATTTTTCAGTTATGCTGATATCATGGGTTTTTTTCCCCTGGGGGGTGGTTTTTCCCTTTGCTTTTCTCTAGGCTCAGCGAGTGTGATTTGCCCAAGATCACCCAGTGGGTTTCTGTAGCTGAGTGGGGTTCAAACTCTGGTCTCCAGAGTATCCATGTTCACTAAGTACCTCATCCTATGAGTGGGGGAAACCATCATATTACCATGGCATTATGTCTTGTTGCATTATAAAGCAAATCATATTATTTATTTATTTACCATATTTATATACTGCCTCTTTCAGGCTGAAGATGACTCGAGGCGGTTTCCAGTCGACAGTCAATGCTCCCAACAACATAAAATACAGTTAAAACATTATATATAATATATAACCATATAAAAGCAATAAAACAATAAAAACCATACAACACAAGTCCTCAGCATCTCATCACTAAAATCATTTTTTCCATCGCATCGTCTAATCGTTCCGTGGATCTCAATTTGCGTCTGCAAATGCCTGCTCAAACAGCCAGGTTTTAACTCTCTTTTATAATGTTAGGAGGGAGTGGGCCAATCTAATATCCCTAGGGAGGGCATTCCATAGCTGAGGGGCCACTGCTGAGAAAGCCCTGCCTCTCATTCTCGCCAATCACACCTATGAAGAGGGCAGGACCGAGAGCAGGGCCTCCCCAAATTATGTTAAGCGCCTAGATGGTTGATAGGGAGAGATGCGTTTGCACAGGTAAACTGGGCCGGAACCGTTTAGGGTTTTAAAGGCTAAAGCCAGCACTTTTAATTGTGCCCAGATCCTATCACATGCTTTTATTTCTTGCCTTTCCTTCTGACATCATCCATTTTCAGATTTATCACACAAGTGAGTGCAGTTTCTGCCCACTCCATCTTTTAAAAAAAAGCTTGGGAAAAAAACTTTTGAGAGACTTGACTTTCCCCTCCAGTCTCACTATTCTTGAGGAGAATTGTTCTTAAGGCAAACTCCCATTCTTTGGGCTCCTCTCCTTTCCTCCCAATCTTATTATTCCCAATCACGGAAATCTGAAACAAAGTTCAAAAGCTAGCAGTAGTGCAATTTCAAAAGCCAAGATTACTATGAAGGACAGGAAAAACAAAGTGGTGATATCTTCAGATTTTAGTATCTCTAACGATTAACTTAATTTTAAGAAATTACCATGCTAGACTCAGGAAGCAGGATTTTGGGAGGGGAATGTCAATGCTTGGTAAGAGAGTCCCCATAGGAACGCCCATTATTCAACACAGGCAAATTAACCGATCCCATCCTACATGTTTTTCCTTGCTTTCTCCCATTTCCACTTGAATCATGAGCTTAGAAGACTATTTTTGCCTGCTCCAGTGTGATGACATCCATAGAGATCCACATTCACCAGTTTATAAGAAATTCATCTCTTTTATGTCAATTAAGAACTGCTATTTTATACCAATGTTATATTTGTTGAAACATTGCCTATGTCATTTTACAGCTGTACATCAAATCTCATAAATGACAAAAAGGGAAAAAGCAAAAAACTTGTACAGAGCAACAAAGATAACACAAGGACCTTAAGAAACCTATGCATTATGAAAGGACACAAATTGTTTGTGGTTCCTATTGTATTGAGGTACAGAATGCCATCAGCCTTTTCCTCTAAACCAGTGGTTCTCAACCTGTGGATCCCCAGTTCTTTAGACCTTCAAATCCCAGAAATCCCAACAGCTGGTAAACTGGTTGGGATTTCTGGAAGTTGTAGACCAAAAACATCTGGGGACCCCAGGCTGAGAACCACTGCTCTAAACCATTAATGAGATATCTGAGTATGAATCTACTGAGACAGGAGATGATATTCAACATCTTGGATAACCTCTGAATTTCAGATTAAAACCCACCATGGATTCCTCTGGGATTGAAGGCACCAGTCCACATGGGAAATAAGTCTGTGGCTCACACTGTCATTATGCAAGAAGACCCTTAAATGGTGGCATATATGTTTATTTTCATGGATGGATCATGAGCTCCCCATTCCACCCATGGATCAAGAACCAAGGAAAAATCTTTTCTCCAGAGAATTTTTCTTTCGGGAAAGTGAAGATTTCAGCATGTGTATCCCCATCAAAAAATGCTACCTGTCCTATTGAATAGTCCAGAGAAACTCTGATCCTCTTTGGTGGATGACATAGAGTCAAATTCGTCCTTGGGTGCGTGATTGCTTCGTACTTCCCATACCAAAGTTGTACTGCCCAATACCCTCCTCTAGGATCAAAGAAAATTTTATCATTTCTGTTTGCTGACTCCCTAACCACTCCCACCCCCCACCATTCCCCTGCTTGCACAATCTCAACTTCCCAGCAAATCTTCCCTGAGTTAAAGCCCTCCTGGGTTAATACACTGGCCATGAGGTCGTATCTCTGAGGACCAGGAGCAACACTTTGCTTCATTCCTTTCCATTTCACACTTTTTTTGTCTTCAGATATGTAGAGCTGGGGGAAATTTGTGCTGGGATCCAGAGTCAGGTTTGCTGCACAGAGGAGAGAAAGAAAAAAAATCATTGTGCCATCAAGATTCATTCAGCTCTGAAGATGAATGCAAGAAATCATTATTGTTGTTGTAATTAGCTGCCAGCCTGCAACTCTCAGACCTCAGGAAAAAAAAAAAGGTAGGTAAGTTGTAGCCCTTCATTTTTTGCTGGCATGCAATCCCTAGTATTTCTTACCATTGGCTTTTTCCAGCTGAGGGCAATAGAACATGCAGTTCATCATAATCTAAAGCAGAGCTTCCCAAACTTTTCATGTTGGTGATACACTTTTCAAACCCGCAACATTTTGGGACAAGGCATCTTAAACTTTTGCACTCGCAATCCCTTTCAACCCGAGAATTTTTATGTGACTATAGGTATATAATAGGTATATAAAAGAGAAAAAACCCAAACATTTACTGATAAAAAATTACCATTTGCAAAACTTGCTGAACAGATTGATTTCTCTTTTTATGAATGTTGTTTTTATGATGTTTTCATATTTTATATGCTATGTTTTTAACTGTATATGATTGGGCTTGGCCCTGTGTAAGCTGCCCCAAGACCTTTTGGGGAGATGGAGGTGGGTGGGATGTAAAAATTAAGTTGTTGTTGTTATTGTTGTTGTTGTTGTTATTATTATTATTATTATTATTATTAGAAACACAACAAGATGAGTCCACAGCATTCACTCTGCTGGCTGTTATATTGGATCACACGTTGGACACTTCCCAAGTGTCTAGGACTGTGTGATGTATGGGAGAATAATGAGTGCAGATCCCAGTAAGGTGGCCTTCTGCAGCTGGCAGATGGTAATCTTGTCAGCACCGATTGTGTTTAAGTGCGGGCCAAGGTCTTTAGGCACTGCACCATGTTCCGATCACCACTGGGACCACCTTTACTGGTTTGTGTCAGAGTCTTTGCAGTTCGATATTTAAATCTTCATATCATGTCAGCTTTTCCAGTTTTTTCTCTTTAAGCCTGTCACCTGGGACTGCAACATTGATAATCCATACTTTGTTTTTTAACACGACCAGAGACCATCATGCTCCACAGAGTGCAGCCCATGAGACTCATGCAACCTCCCCCCCCCCAAAAAAAAAAAGATTCCTCAAAAGCCAAGGATTTATTTTTAATTAAAAATGGGGCAGATTCTCATAAGATTTTTTAAAACTCCATGTCCACCCAAAAATCATTCAAACCCAGCAGCGTGCTTTCTTCCAAAGCTCCCCCCCCTCACTAAAATATGAAATAAATCTAAAATATCAATACATTGAAATATTCCGGTGTAGTCTGTCATGTGTGTTCAGGGTGGAAAAATGGTCAATGCCCCACTGCACATGCCCACCCTTGCATGTGGCATACAAATGACTTTTGGGGCACCATTTCTAGAATATTCCAGCCACCATGATCTGGGTTCTGGGTGTTGTGGTTTCGAAAAGAGATTCCACTTAAAAATCAGCAAGAACTGCTTGATGCTAGAATATACATCTTTGGAGTGTGGTGGAGTCTTCTTTTTGGAGGTTTTGAAATGGCAACTGTTGGGAGTGTTTTGATTGTGTGTTCCTGCATTGCAGAATGAGGTTGGACTGGATGGCCTTTGTGGTTTCTTCTAATTCTATGATTTTATGAAAAAAAATAACTTTTCCAGCTCTGATAACTGACATGCAAATCTTGAATGCCTGGCAGTGTTGTTGGCGGTAAGTAATTAATTGTTTTTGTTGGTGCTGAAAAATACTTTTTTTCTAACACATGACAGAAGCAGAACTAAAGTTAAACTAGAGTTTGAAAAACAGGAAGGCAGACACTTTAATGGAAATGTGGGAAAAGAGCAGTATATGGGATGCAAGCAGTCCACCAACTTGCCCAGTTCTTGGTCCCAAGCCTTGCTCAGCAGCCTCTTTACATATGCTAGAACTTTGTTAATCTATAGATTCTGTGATATATATATATATATATATATATATATATATATATATATATATATAAGCAATATCTATGGTTAATGAATTAATCTGGCTTGGTTGTCCCTTTTTACAATGTGTAATTCTGTTACCAAGGGACACTCCATATGAGCCATTCATGTAGGTTTGCTTCCCATGGGGCCTAAAAGATCCACTGTTTGGATTTTCCAGATGTTCTGTGGAGTCTGGAAAGTTTCTTCTTAGTGTTTATTATGTAACTGCTGTATTTCAAAAGTGGCCTGTTGCCATTCTTTGTGGGAAGACTGAAAACCAATGACGCCTTACTTTCCCTGTTGCCTAGCTCACCCACCTTCCCATTACTTCCTATTACACTTTGAGAGAGAAAAACCACAGGACTGATAGGAGAATTCTCTCTGAAAATGTAGTACTTTAAGTCATTTTGAGGGGGAGCAGTCAAAAACAGTACAACAAGCCTTCCACTTTCATAGAAGGTTAAGGGTGCAGGACTCCCATGCAAGCCGAAAAAACACAAATTAAAAAGTTGCTATTTTTTTCCAATGAGAACACCTATGTATCACTAATCTTCCAGTGTGTCGAAATGGCCAACCTCTACCAGAAGACCTGCAAATGCATAAATAAATGTTTCCTCAATAAGTCTTTAGGTCCTCCAGCATGACTGGAAGTTGACCATAGGTTCTTAAAGAGAACACAATAATACAATTTGGATATAACAAAATTCATAAAAGTTAAATCCACAGATGTGGACGTCCAACTGTAATATTTCAATATCCTTCTTGTCACAAAACCAAATAGTTGCAAGTAACCTCCAAGGTCTAGCTAGGGAAGCCACCCTCCCCAACCCAATCTGCAAAATCAAAATCAGAAGTAGATATCAATTTACTTCAGGTTTTAATTCTCTCCATATTTTCTTTGTTCCTCATTGCTAGGGGTGAAAATATGCTTTCCCAACCTGCCCCCCCCCACCTGCCCGCAAATATCCGGCTACAAGGGTTGCCAGGTCAAAGGTCTGAAGTCTCAGTGCCAAAGCCTGAAATCTTAGGGCAAGTTCTCATGTTACTATGTGGCTGACACTAGTGATGCCATTCATAATTATATTTTGAGCATTTGCTATATTTGGAGGAGAAAAACATGCACATACACACACTTTCTAGAATAGCACTCTTCCCCTGAGATTCTTCTCCTTTGCCCTGAGGACTGATGAAGAAGCCCCAGACAGAGAGATCTGGCAATCTGGAGATCTGGCACCCAAACTATTGCTTTGTTAGTTCAAAGTTTGAAATCATAACCATAGGGGAACAAATATCTTGTTTAGAAGCAAAAGATGACATTACCTATTATGCTGTCCTTAGCAGATCTGCAAGGGATGCAGTTTTGTACGCAACTCCGGATCTGGTTGTGAGGAAGCTTGGTGTAAGAAGTAGCATGATTTCCATAAGAATAATCCTGCAAAGCTTAGAACATAGTTTGATTTCACAATGGGATCACCATCTATTCAACAATATCATTTACGGAGAAATGTGATTCTATTTAGACTAGCCATGAGATATTTCCTGCTTACTCATACTGACCTATATATGGTACATAAATGTACTGGAAGAAATGAGGGATGCTGTGAGAGTTTCCGCATTGTTTCACAGGAGCCTTGAAAGCCTGAGAAACATGATTGTATAGCAAAATAAGAACTAGAAAAACAAAAAAATAATATCTATTGTAGCAAAATACATGCTGCCTCAGTATTTGGATAAATTCCATTTTTTCTTGAAACAAAACAAGATCCAGCATAAGTATTCTGCTGATTCCTACTGAATCCTAATTTGCTTTGCTTGTGACCCTTTTTCTTTCACATACTGTGGCAATTTGGTTGGTTTTAGTAACTTCTATCTCTTGACATCTCCAGCAAAGGATCACCGCCTTGTCGGGGCGCTGGAGCTTGAGCACCTCAATGATGTCATGAGCGAAACCGTGAAGGGCCACCCAAGACGGGACGGTTGTGGCAGAGAGGTCAGACCAAGCGTGATCCCTGGGGAAGGCAATGGCAAACCCCTCCAGTATCCTTGCCAAGAAAACTAAATGGACCAGTACAACCAGAGATATGTCGGTATGCCATTGGAAGATGGGACTCCCAGGTCGGAAGATGGCCAAAATGCTACTGGGGAGGAGCAGAGGATAAGTTCAACTAGCCCCAGATGTGATGACGCAGCTAGCTCAAAGCCGAAAGGAAGGCTAGCGGCCGACGGTACTGGAGGTGAACGACGAATCAGATGCTCTAAAGATCAACACACCATAGGAACCTGGAATGTAAGATCTATGAGCCAGGGCAAATTGGATGTTGTTATTGGCGAGATGTCAAGACTAAAGATAGACATTCTGGGGGTCAGCGAACTGAAGTGGACTGGAATGGGCCACTTCACATCAGATGACCACCAGATCTACTACTGCGGACAAGAGGAACATCGAAGAAATGGAGTAGCCTTCATAATTAATAAGAAATTCGCTAAAGCAGTGCTTGGATACAACCCAAAAAATGACAGAATGATCTCAATTCGAGTGCAAGGAAAGCCTTTCAACATTACAGTGATCCAAATATACGCCCCAACCACAGCTGCTGAAGAAGCAGAAGTAGATCAGTTCTATGAGGATCGGCAGGACCTACTGGATAATACACCAAAAAGAGACATTATTTTCATTACAGGAGACTGGAATGCCAAGGTGGGAAGTCAAATGACAACTGGGATCACAGGCAAGCATGGTCTGGGAGAACAAAATGAAGCGGGACGCAGGCTGATAGAATTTTGCCAGGAAAACTCGCTGTGTATAACGAATACTCTCTTCCAACAACCTAAAAAACGGCTTTACACATGGACCTCACCAGACGGTCAACACCGAAATCAGATTGACTACATCCTTTGCAGCCAAAGGTGGCGGACATCCATCCAGTCGGTGAAAACAAGACCTGGGGCTGACTGTAGCTCAGATCACGCACTTCTTATTGCCCAATTTAGAATAAAACTAAAGAGATCAGGGAAAATACACAGACCAGTTAGATATGATCTCACTAACATTCCTAGCGAATATACAGTGGAAGTGAAGAACAGATTTGAAGGACTAGATTTAGTAAACAGAGTCCCAGAAGAACTATGGACAGAAGTCCGAAACATTGTTCAGGAGGCGGCAACAAAGTACATCCCAAAGAAAAAGAAAACCAAGAAGGCAAAATGGTTGTCTGCTGAGACACTGGAAGTAGCCCAAGAAAGGAGGAAAGCAAAAGGAAACAGGGATAAGGGGAGATATGCCCAGTTAAATGCGCAATTCCAGAGGTTAGCCAGAAGAGATAAGGAACTATTTTTAAATAAGCAATGCATGGAAGTGGAAGAAGACAACAGAATAGGAAGGACAAGAGATCTCTTCCAGAAAATTAGAAACATTGGAGGTAAATTTCAGGCAAAAATTGGTATGATAAGAAACAAAGATGGCAGGGACCTAACGGAAGCTGAAGAGATCAAGAGAAGGTGGCGAGACTATACAGAAGATCTGTATAGGAAGGATAATAATATTGAGGATAGTTTTGACGGTGTGGTGAATGAATTAGAACCAGACATCCTGAGGAGTGAGGTTGAATGGGCCTTAAGAAGCATTGCTAACAACAAGGCAGCAGGAGACGACGGGATCCCAGCTGAACTGTTTAAAATCTTAAAAGATGATGCTGTCAAGGTGATGCATGCCATTTGCCAGCAAATATGGAAAACACAAGAATGGCCATCAGACTGGAAAAAATCAACTTATATCCCCATACCAAAAAATGGAAATGCGAAAGACTGCTCAAACTTCCGTACAGTGGCCCTTATTTCTCATGCCAGTAAGGTAATGCTCAAGATCCTGCAAGGAAGACTCCAGCAATACATGGAGCGAGAGTTGCCAGATGTTCAAGCTGGGTTTAGAAAAGGTAGAGGAACGAGAGACCAAATTGCCAATATCCGCTGGATAATGGAGAAAGGCAGGGAGTTTCAGAAAAACATCTACTTCTGCTTCATTGACTATTCTAAAGCCTTTGACTGTGTGGATCATAATAAATTGTGGCAAGTTCTTAGTGGGATGGCATCCCAAGCCACCTTGTCTCTCTCCTGAGGAATCTGTACAAGGACCAAGTAGCAACAGTAAGAACTGACGATGGAACAACAGAGTGGTTCAAGATTGGGAAAGGCATACGGCAAGGCTGCATCCTCACCCAACCTTTTTAACTTGTATGCAGAACACATCATGCGATGTGCGGGGCTGGATGAATTCAAAGCTGGGGTGAAAATTGCTGGAAGAAACATTAACAACCTCAGATATGCAGATGACACCACTCTGATGCCCGAAAGCGAGGAGGAGCTGAGGAGCCTTCTAATCAAGGTGAAAGAAGAAAGCGCAAAAGCCGGGTTGCAGCTAAACGTCAAAAAAACCAAGATTATGGCAACAAGAATGATTGACAACTGGAAAATAGAGTGAGAAACCGTGGAGGCCGTGACAGACTTTGTATTTCTAGGTGCAAAGATTACTGCAGATGCAGACTGTGGCCAGGAAATCAGAAGACGCTTACTTCTTGGGAGGAGAGCAATGTCCAATCTCGATAAAATAGTCAAGAGTAGAGACATCAGACTGGCAACAAAGATCCGCCTAGTCAAAGCCATGGTATTCCCTGTAGTCACCTACGGATGTGAGAGCTGGACCTTAGGGAAGGCTGAGCGAAGGAAGATCGATGCTTTTGACTGTGGTGTTGGAGGAAAGTTCTGAGAGTGCCTTGGACTGCGAGATGATCCAACCAGTCCATCCTCCAGGAAATAAAGCCCGACTGCTCATTGGAGGGAAGGATACTAGAGACAAAGTTGAAGTACTTTGGCCACATCATGAGGAGACAGCAAAGCCTAGAGAAAACAATGATGCTGGGGAGTGGAAGGCAAAAGGAAGAGGGGCCGACCAAGGGCAAGATGGATGGATGCATCCTTGAAGTCACTGGACTGACCTTGAAGGAGCTGGGGGTGGTGACGGCCGACAGGGAGCTCTGGCGTGGGCTGGTCCATGAGGTCACGAAGAGTCGGAGACGACTGAACGAATGAACAACAACAACATCTCTTGACATATAGATGAGAAGTCCTATGTCCTGCTTTTCTATTCAGCAACTTAATTGCATCCAGAAATTATTTCATGGGGCCACAATGTCTTAAAGGCACCAGATTCTGTCTGATTTTTGACATTTAGCAAGATGGGCACTGGTTAGAATTTGAATGGGAGACCACCAACAAATATAATCATAGAATAATAAAGTTGGAAGAGACCACATAGGCCATCAGTAAAAGTACAAAGTACTTCAGACAGATGGCCATTCAGCCTCTGTTTAAAAGCTTCCAAGGAAGGAACATCCACCAATATTCAATGCTGTAGGCTATATTTGATAGAAAGAAACTGGGAAAACCACTTTTGAATAATCCTTGTCTAAGAAAACTTAAGAATTTCATGGGGTCACCATAACAGGATACTTTAAGTCATATATAAGTCCATGTATTAATTAATGAGAAAACTATGATTAGAGTTGGCCCTCATATCTATGGATTCTACAGCCATGAATTCAACCAACCACAGCTTGAATATATTCTTCCCACCTCAATTTTTTTTCCAAAAACCAAATGTTGATTTTGTCATTATACATAAGGGGCACAATTTTACTTGATCGGTTTATATAATAGGACTTGAACATCTACGGATCTGGTACCCATGGATGGTTCTGGAACCATATTCTAGACAATACCAATGCCCAACTGTATATGGAGGGAAGACATTTATTAGAAAGTGAAGGAAAAAAAACTATCAGTTTGGAGAAGTAATTTGAGTTTAGGCAAGTACTTGAGAGAATGAGGGTTCAGATTCTCAGTCAGACATCTCACTGGATGTCCTTGGTTCAGTCACACTCTCTTAGTTGAAGAGGAAGGCAGTGATTTCCCCTATGAATTGAACTTCCAAGAAAATATCTGACAGATTTGGCTGAGGGTGACTGAAAATTAGTAACAACTTGGAATGCACACACACACACACACAAAACACAGCAGATATCTCTTACCTGGGATATTGAGAAGGATAAAAACCAAGATCATAGCAACATTTCCTGCCACTGAGATGCCAAGACCAATTTTCCACCAGAGAAGATTGGAGGAACAGCCTGTGGAATTGGAAGTCAACTGGTGAAGTTGAGCACTAGTTCCATGCTTTGCCTTCACACACTTACTAAATGAATGTGCGTCTCTGTAAGGCCTGCTTTTTTAGAGCTATGATGAAAAATCATCTGATAATACCTCCTTTAAAATATGGCTTTTCTAGGCTATATTCTACGATAGAGTTATGAGGGTTGAATGAAAAGTAATGCCTCCACCTTTGTTACGTTCTTCCATTTTCTTGCTAATACTAGTCTTGCAGCTGTTGCTATGTGGAAGAGGAGCTTGTCCTTGTTCTTTTCCACCTCGAAGTCTAGGATTCCAAGTAGATAATAGTCTGCTTTCATATCTTTCCTTAGATCTAGCATTTGGTTTGTGATTCCATGTATTTCAGACCAGAATTTTCTTACTTTCTCGCAGGTCCACCATAGGTGGAAGAAGGTCCCCTTCTTTTTCTTGCACTTCCAACACACGTCTGATGTATTCTTATAGTATTTTGCGAGTTTACTTGGTGTAAGGTACCACTGGTACATCATCTTAATCCAATTTTCCTTTAAACTGTAGGAATTGATCCATTTTATTTTGATGTTCCAAATTCTTTCCCATTCCTGTGTTCTTATAGTATGTCCTAGGTTGGCCGTCCATTTTGTCGTGTAGCTGTTTGTCTTGTCCTTTTCCGTCTTCCAGTTTATCAGGATTTTATATATTTTAGTAATTCCTTTTTTCTCTGATATCATAATTCTTTCCCAGTAGTTATCTTCCCTTTCAAATCCTACTGCTTTGTCTTTATTGAAGACTTCATTCATCTGTCTATGCTGGAACCATGAAATTTCTCCATACGTCTTTTTGATCTCCTCTAGTGTCTTTAATCTGGTTCCTGTTCTTTCTATTTTCAGAATGTCTTTGTATTTGGGCCATTTTTCCCAACCTAGTTCTCTTCGTTGAGTTGCCTCCAGCGGGGAGATCCATAGGGGTGTTTTTTGATAAAATTTATTCTTATATTTCTCCCAAATTTTGATCAACGAAGATCGTATAAAATGGTTACCGAAATTTTTTTCTATTTTTCTCTTGGCGTACCAGAGATACGCATGCCAGCCGCTGCGCAGATCGTGTCCTTCTAGTGCCAAAAGTTTAGGTTTGTTAATATTTGCCCATTCTTTGATCCAGATGAGGCCGCAGGCATCATGGTAACTTTGTAGGTCTGGTAGACCCAGTCCACCTTTCTCTTTTCTATCAATCAAATTTGTATACTTTATTCTGGGTTTCTTTCCTCCCCATATAAATTTTGTGATCTCCTTATTCCAACTTTTAATTGTTTGTGCGTTTCTAATTATGGGAATTGTTTGAAAGAGAAATAGTAATTTTGGCAATACCGTCATCTTTATGGCCGAGATCCTCCCTAATATTGAAAGATTTAAATATTTCCATTTCTTCATTTCATTACTTATTTCTTTCCACTTTATTTCATAGTTGTTCTTTAGTAGGTGTGAGTTCTTTGCCGTTAACGTTATGCCCAGATATCTGATTTTCTCAACTACTTGTATTCCGCTTTTTTCTTCTAGCTTTTTTTGTCGCTCTTTGGTTATATTTTTTGTTAGTATTTTAGTTTTAGTTTTGTTAATATTAAATCCTGCCAATGTTCCAAATTCTTCAATTGTATTTATCCATTTTTCCAGGTTTTCTATTGGATCCTCAATCATGCATATTATATCATCCGCAAATGCTCTTAGCTTATATGAATGTTTTCTTATTTTTGTTCCAATAAGTGAGTTGTCGTTTCTGATGTTATTTAAGAGTATTTCAAGTGCCATTATGAAAGCCCTCTTAGAAGCTTGCTAATGCAGTGCCCTGGCTACCTTGAAGAAATTAATCTATCCTATAGACTCATCTATACATCTAAAAATGTCAGTAAAAAAATCAGCCAAAAATTGGTTGACTTGTCCACAGGTCAGTGTAAATACCATAACTTAACTCCTATTTAAAAATGAACCATACATTTTCTGAGTGGAGTGATAAAAGGCAAGAACTTGTCCATCCTGGGAGAACTTAAAAGGAACAATAAACACGTCTATTCTCTCCACCACAGTGTTGCTTCTCCTTTTTTGAATGTCAGGACATGAGCAGCCAGGGACATTTCCCTTTCCATTGAGTGACCTTTATCCATGGGTCATTTCAAAATCCATCATTTTGCACCTCCACCCCCAAATTTACCTTCAATGTGTACATGAGGTCGACTTATACGTGTGTGTGTATATATAACCTCTCTTCTTAATGCCTTCCTTTTTACTGAGAACTCACATCCTTTCTAATAAATCATGCTGTTTGATGATACGTCGAAAGGGCAGCATTCTTGGTTTAGTAATTTTGGTTACTTTGGGGAAGTGCAGAATTAATTTGCTCTATGAACCCTTTATTTGTATTTTTAACTGTCCACTTTTTCCATCACCATATATCAAAGGTTTTGACAGAATTTCTTTCCCCAGGAGCACATTTCAAATGAGTTGAATCTCTAAATTGTTTTGACTCTATCTAGCTCCTCAGCTTTTTCCTCTGGCACAGACCAATGTTATTAACAGAGAAAGGGCTGAATGCAGAAGAAGATGAGAAAGCACAGCAGGACTTGGAAAGGTTTTTTTTCCCTTGGGGGGGGGGGCTACTAGTCTTCTGGCTATGGGATTCTGAGAGTTATAGTCTAAAGAAGGAACTTGGCCAAGCTTTGAAATTCATAATTCATTCCAGTTTGCCCCCCCCCCCTCCCCAACCTGTCTTCAATGTAAAATGAGGTCAACTTATGCATGAGTATATACAACAATACATCTAATGAGATCTTCCTCTTTTCTTGCTGCCTTCGTTTTTACTGAGAGCTCACATCATTTCTAATAAATCATGTTGTTTGATGAAACATTATATTGTGTTTTACGTGTAGAGTAAGTTTAACAAATGTGGTATTTGAAATGAAGGTCAAAGTCCTGTACCGAGGTAGGCAATGTTGGATTCCGTTTCCTGGAAAAGCATTAATGTTTTCCTGGGGAACAGAATTCATTAGTGCCTAAATCAAGACTCGAAAATCTGAAATCAAGAATTAGAAGTGCTTTACTTTGCTTAATCGTACCATGTTTAAATTATTTCTAAATAAGAACTAATGACTTACTCAGTGGGAGATTTACTTTTATACTGTGCAATTTATATATATATGTGTGTGTGTGTGTGTGTGCGTGTGTGTGTGTGTGTGTGTATACACACAAATGTATTCTATTTTTGCTCAGGTCAGAAAAAATGCGAAAAGTTTACTTCATTATCATGTCAGGAGCAACTCGAGAAACTGCAAGTGGTGTGAGAGAATTGGCCATCTGCAGAGACATTGCCCAGTGTGTGTTACCATTCTGTGGAAGGCTTCTCTCATGTCCCCGCATGGGAAGCTGGAGTTGACAGACAGGAGCTCACCCCATCTTGCAGATTCAAACCACTGACCTTTAGGTCAGCAGTTCTGCCGGCACAATGGTTTAACCCATTTTGCCAAAGCAGCTCCTTTAGCATGTTAACTGAGATAGTTAACATGCTACGAGTACTCTTGTGTTGAAAATGTTGAGATTTTGAGTTTTTAAATGTATTTAAAATGTTCAATATCTAAAAATAAAATAAAAGTTACATGAAATCACTAAAAAAGTGCAACTGCCTTGGTTTAGTCATTTTGGATTCTTTAGGGGAAGTGTAGAATTAATTTTCTCTATGAACCCTTTATTTATATTTGAGACAGTCCACTTTTTCCAACCCCATATATCAAATGTTTTTTTTTTCCAGGAGCACATTTCAAATGAGTTGAATCTCTAAATTATTCTGAAGCCACCTATCTCCTCAGCTTTCTCCTCTGGCACAGACCAATGTTCTTAGCAGAGAAAGGGGTGAATGCAAAAAAAGATGAGAAAACACAGCAGGACTTGGAAAAGTTCCTTGAGGGGGTGGAGCTCCCAGTCTTCCGGATATGGGATTCTGAGAGCTATATTGTAAACAAGGAACTTGCCCAAGCTTTGAAATTAATTCCTGAGGACATAAAGGCTACATTTAATATGAGGAGGGTGCTTTTGAGTTTGTGTCCTGCTGGTGGGCATCACATGAGTCACTGAGCATATAAAACAGCTAGGAAAGAATAATTGTTGGGACCCAGCACAGCTTTCCATCCATTTAAAAATGCGATATATATCCTGTTGGAACAATGTTGCTTACAACTTGTTTAGTCTCACTACATCCAATATGCAATACTGTCATTGTGCTGGTCTTGGTGCTGGAATACAGAAACAAGCCCCAGTTACAAAGTTTCCATTCTGACTTCAAAGATCTTGCTTTCTCTTTTTCTCACCTGCTTTCTCTCACTCACACAATTTCCCTTTCACACACAGACACCTGCAATGCAAAGCACTTTCTGCTTTCCATATTGCTATTGAGGAGGGGGGGAAAAAAATCAAGGTTTATTACAAGCCCAGCTCTTATTAGATCAGGAGTGGGAACTGTGTAGCTTTCCAGATGTTGGCCAGAAACCTCCAGCTTTCCTCATTGGCAGGGGCTGCTGCTAATTAGTTTAAAACATCTGGAAAGATCAGCATTCTCACCCATGTTACAAATCATGACTATGATACATTTTAAAACCTTCCCTTCATGTTACTTCAGTTGCCAAACTTGTGGGGCAGGAAGAGAGAAAGATTCAAATCAATACCTTTGCCTCCAGTAGAAGGTGTTGTTGCACAGAAGTTCCTTACTTTTGGGTCTATACTCATATATCCGTCTTCATCCTCCATCCTCGTGAGTTCCTTTGAAGTCTTGGTTACAAGTAAGAGAGTCTTTGGAAGACGAAGCGGCAGATCCTTGAAATTCTTAAAATGGGAAGCCTGTTGCAATTATGTAAGCGGACTTGGAAAACCGGCTTGCTGACTTTCATTCAGTTGGAATCTATGAGTAGATTATCCCACACATAATATTTGTAACAGGCAACTGGTGGCTTCTAAGCCAAACCTTGAAGAAGATGATCTCTTGTTAATTGATGAAGGAAGTTTGGGGGGCTCATTATGTTTCATATCCTCTCCCACTCACCCACAAGCAATGGAATGAATGCCACATTCACTTCACTTCCCCTTCCCAATCTGCTGAAGTAAGCAAGACTCCCGTTCTCCACGCCACAACTGTTGCAGGATAAATCACATGACTAGATTGCAAAAGAAAAGGGAGGTAATTCACTTAGCTATTTTATTAAATGCACATAGCTAAGACCATGCACAACACTATGTTTTCATCCTCTCATTAGCTACGGTGCATGTCTCAGAGCTTGGAACAATTACTGTGGTGGATAATTCTCAGAATCCTCAGCCTGCATGATCACTGGCCACACTGAGTGAGAGTCCTAAGAGAGTTGTCCCAAAAGTAATATTTCTAAGGTTGGATCTTGTCATATTCTCCTTTGTCCCACTTCATCCTCCTCATAACTAGTTTTCAGATCCTTCCCAGAGTTACTGAGAATATTAGTCAGAGTATTCAAAGATTGTCTTACCATATATACTTGTATATCACTTGAGGACAGGTTTGAGGACCAAAATTAGACACTAATATGATATGTAGATATATTGAGGGTCATTCCAGAAAGAGGGGTTAGTACCAATACCTCCTCAGAGATCCAGCCATCCCTAGCTGCCGTTTTCCCAGAAAGGCATTTGTTTACTATATTATACCTTGTTTCAACAAGCGTTTGAGAATGATTAGCCTCATTGATAATGTCCAGTCCCTAGTTAGCCAGATAGGACTCTATTTCCTCTTCCCCACCCAATTCCCAGCCCTATAGCTTGCTGTTTGCATTTCCCTTGCCCAGCCCTTTTAGATAGTCTGGAAAAATCCAAAGGGATGATGGTGTTATTTTCATGATCAGGCATGAAAAAGGCAGAAGTAGCACCACAGGTGGAGAAAATACAGAAGGTCAAAGCTTATTGTTTCCCACCGCGAGTCATGAGATGCAGTCATAAATAAAATAATAATAATAATAATAATAATAATAATAATAATTTATTATTTATTTATTTACTTTGCTTATATACCGCTGTATCTCAAGCCCGAAGGCGACTCACAGCGGTTCACAAACAGTAGAAACAGTAGAAACAGCAGTGGTTCCATACAACATATAACAACATATAACAATTGACTTAACACATTATCCATAAATTACCAATAATAACAATAACAATTGACTTAACACATTATCCATTTATTACCAATAATAAATTATTATTATTATTATCTGACACGAAAACACAGTATGACACAGCAAATGAGACCTATATGCTGGATTTCATATCACAAAATCACAAGTTGAACACTTCCCAAGCGTTTAGGACTGTGTGATGTATTTTTGAATGATGCACACAGAGTAAGGTAGCCTTTTGCAGTTGACAGATCATGATTAGGTCAATGTTTATTGTTCTCAAATGCCGGCTGAGGTCTTTTGGCGTGACAACCAGTATGCCGATGACCACTGGGACCACCTGACTGGTTTATGCCAGAGATTTTGCAGTTTAAATTTGAGGTCCAGATAATGGCTGAGTTTTTCCTGTTGTTTTTCATCAATTTGGTTGTCACCTGGTATGGTGACATCAATAATCCAAACTGTTTTCTTTTCCACAATCATGATGTCTGGTGTATTGTGCTCCAAAACTTTGTCAGTCTGGATTCAAAAGTCCCACAGTATTTTTGAGTGTTCATTTTCCACTATCCTTGCAGGTTTATGATCCACCAGTGCTTTACTACTGGCAAGTGGTACTTGTGACATAAGTTCCAATGAATCATTTGGGCCACAGAGTTGTGCCTCTGTTTTTAGTCTGTCTGTGCAATTTTCTTGCAGCAGCTGAGGATATGATCAAGTGTTTCATCAGCTTCCTTGCACAGTCTGCATTTTGGGTTATCAGCAGATATTTTGATCCTGGTCTTAATGGCACTTCTTCTGATGGCTTGCTCCTGGGCTGCAAGAAACAGGCCTTTTGTTTCCTTCTTCAGCATTCCATTAGTGAGCCATAACCAGGTCTTCTCCTTGTCAACTTTTCTATCAACCCCACCTTGTCGTGGTGGGGGACGGGCGGCTTAACTGCTCCAAGGATGCTGAGAGCTGTGCTGGCAGAGTGTAACTACCAGCAGGTCCAACCAAGTCAGAGAGATCTCAGCTGAGGAGTGGAACTACGAACACCTAATCCATTAGCACTATGGAGAAATAAACCAAAATGAAGTCTATACTCGCTCGGTCGATGCCCAGGATAAAAACGACCATGGTGAATCCTGCTGATTCTGGACACCCATCGATAAGTGGGCTACAGACTCAAAATACAAATGAATAGTTACAGAAGCGACAGAAACATACAATGCTAGAAAACTGCACTATTATTGGGTTGTTTAGGTTTTTTTGGGCTGTATGGCCATGTTCTAGAGGCATTCTCTCCTGAAGTTTTGCCTGCATCTATGGCAAGCATCCTTGCCATAGATGCAGGCGAAACATCAGGAGAGAATGCCTCTAGAACATGGCCATATAGCCCAAAAACCTACAGCAACCCAGTGATTCCAGCGTGCGCCAGCTGCGCCCTTACCTTGGGAAGTCGGATCTGGCCACGGTGGTCCACGCTCTTGTCACATCCCGGTTGGATTACTGCAACGCACTCTACGTGGGGTTGCCTTTGAAGACTGCTCGGAAACTTCAACTAGTCCAGCGAGAAGCAGCCAGATTGCTCACCGGAGCGGCGTACAAGGAGCATACCACCCCCCTGTTGCGTCAGCTCCACTGGCTGCCGATCCAATTCCGAGCACAATTCAAAGTGCTGGTTTTGACCTACAAAACCCTATACGGTTCCGGCCCAGTGTATTGTCCGAACGGATCTCCCTCTACGTCCCACCTCGAAGTTTAAGATCTTCTGGGGAGGCCCTGCTCTCGACCCCGCCACTCTCACAAGTGAGGTTGGCGGGGACGAGGAGCAGGGCCTTCTCAGTGGTGGCCCCTCACCTGTGGAACTCACTCCCCGGGGAGATTAGATCGGCATCCTCCCTTTTATCATTCAGGAAAAAACTGAAGACCTGGATGTGGGACCAAGCCTTCGGGCATTCTGGCAGCTAAAGGAAAAACCCGACGATGAGCAGGAATTGATGAAATGGAATGGACATTCGGAACTCTAAACACTGAGCATGAGATTGTTTATGTTTTGATATTGTATTGATGTTTTAATCTGTTAATTTGCTTAAATTGTTTTGTATGTTTTGTATAATGTGATATAGGCATCGAATTGTGCCTTCGCTTGTAAGCCGCCCTGAGTCCCCCCTCGGGGGTGAGAAGGGCGGGGTAGAAGTAATTGAAATAAATAAAATTATTATTATTATTATTATTATTATTATTATTATTATTCAACATAGGTAAATGATATAAGATTTTGGAAAGTTGAACCAAGACAGGTTAAGTACATTTCACTGAGCAGCTGAGATACATTTCTGCTTCATATTTTAAACTATTATTATTATTGACTATATGTTTTTGATGTTAGTGACACAGGCACCAATCTCCTTTACTCTCTTGGCATTCCTTTGAGACAGTGGTTCTCAATCTGTGGGTCCCCGGGTGTTTTGGCCTACAACTCCCAGAAATCCCAGCCAGTTTACCAGTTTTTAGGATTTCTGGGAGTTGAAGGTCAAAACATCTGGTGACCCACAGGTTGAGAACCACTGCTTCTGGTCACTTCTGGAATGTGGAGCAGAACAAACCACAGACCACCTATTACAATGCAGCCTGAGTCCTGCCACATGCACAATGGAGGGCCTTCTTATAGCAACAGCAGAGGCACTCCAAGTGGCCAGCTACCGGACAAAGGACATTTAATAGAATGCCAAGTTTGCAAACTTTGTGTGTGTGTTTTTAAATACAATACAACTGTTTGGTTTGCTCCTGACATGATAGATAGATAGATAGATAGATAGATAGATAGATAGATGATAGATAGATAGATAGATAGATAGATAGATAGATAGATAGATAGAACCACTGTTTTGAGGGGAAATGCCAAAGAGATTATGCTATTATTTTCATGATCAAGCATGAAAAAGGCAGAAGTAGCACCACAGATGGGGAAAATACAGAAGGTCAAAACTTATTGTTACCCACTATGAGTCATGAGAGGCAACCATAAATAAATGTATTATTATTATTCAGCATGGGTAAATAATATCAGGTTTTGGAAGGTTGAAGCGAGACAAGGTAAATATATTTAACTGAGCAGCTGAGATACATTACTGCTCCATATTTTTAACTAATATTATTATTGACTATATGTTTTTGATGTTAGTGATACAAGCAGAGCATCACTTATTCAGAATTCCAAAGTACTCCAGAATCCAAAATTGCACACATGGCTGGCTGAAATAGTGACATGTTTGCTTTCTGAGGGTTTAAACATTGTTTCATGCACAAAATTATGAAAAGGCATATATGGAATATAACTCATTGTCTTGTTTAGACTTGACCCCTGTGCAGAAGTCATTGATACTTTGTATGTAATTAACTGTTAGAATATATATTCGTGTTAGCAACAGTAGTTAAAACTAGAGTATCTGGTTTGAATCCACAGTCAGCATTGCCATGGAGACCAAGGCTGGCTGGCAGGAGAGTGGAAAGTGGGAGGAGCCAAGCAAGGAAAAGTTATGTTCGTCTTTGGAAAAGAGCAGTTCAGTTGGCAGTCTGAGTTGAGATTGGAGTGAGTGTGGAGGCTTGAGAAGCCTGGGAGAGCAGTGTGTGAGAATAGCTGTAGGTTTTTTCAGTCTAGGAGGGCTGAAGGGAGAAACCTGTCCAGTTTCTTTAGTCAGATAAGGCTAAAGGAAGCTTGTTAAGATCACTAGTCGAGGAAGGACTAGAGATCAGTTATTTGATCAAGGATAGATCAAATTAGAAGGCTATTCACATTAGGAAACATTGTTCATTAAAGTGCTTCACCTCAGTAAAAGTTGCCACAAGCTGTATCATCTGAAAGAGTGAACTGTATTACAAACCAAGTGTTATTAAAAGTTCTATAAGTTACTTAACAGCCTGCAACCATACGCTTTGTACACAATAAACTTGTTATCTTTTGTTGAAGACCATCTCATCTCAGTTA